CACGCACACACACACACACCACACACACGCGCGTGCGCGCGCGAAAAACTATTTTGCGTTGTAATGTCGCTTATGATATTTCGATGAGAAAATAATTAACACAGAAAGTATTTACAAGCCATTTTTTTTCCAAATTGATAGCAATATGGAGACTGTACTTCAACAAAAAGTCATAGAAGTTGCCAAAAATGTTGAGGAGGTGTTGGATGTAGAATTAGACAAGTTAGACAGTTTGGATATCTGTGATTATGAAAAAATACGTGCACATAGACTAAATGAGCTCAAACGAATGCAAAAGCAGAAGGAGGATTGGCTAGTTTCGGTAATGTGTTTTGACATGTTTATTTGTTTCAGAATATTTAATACTAGAATTCTTAAATATTATATATTAGGAATATGTATATAAATTTATGTCAAATTGTATAATTTATACAAAATAACAAAATATGTATAACTTTATATTGTTACAGGGTCATGGAGAATATGCTGAGTTATATGATGAGAAAGAATTCTTCGAAGTATCTAAAAAGTCAGAGAATATAGTTTGCTTATTTTATAAAGATGATTCTCTACGAAGTAAAATAGTGGATCATCATTTCAAGATTCTTGCGAAGAAACACATTGAAGCAAGATTTTGCAAACTAAATGTTGAAAGATGTCCCTTTTTGACTGGTATTGTTAAAACATCTTTCTGTTATTTTTAGCAATATAGCAATACGAAGTATATCTAACTCTGTTAGTAATATATATTTATGCATTACAGAACGGTTACGTATTAGAATCATACCTACAATTGCGCTAATTGTGAATGGCAAAACCAAGGATTATATTGTGGGCTTTACTGAATTAGGAAACTGTGACGATTTTTCTACAGAAAGATTGCAGTGTCGTCTTGCACAATCAGGTGTGATCAATTATGGTGATGATCCAGAATTGATAGAAACTGGCAAGAAGTCATTTATATTTAGACCTTCAAAACCCAAGACCATTAAGGGTCGCAACTCGAATGATTCTGATGACGACTGCATCCAGATATAAAAAACTTATGTATTTTAAAATATCTAAAAAATATAACTTTGATGTGAACTCTCGGAATTAAAAACAATAGAAATCAGACAAAGTAAATGAAAGTACAGCGCGGCGTAATTTATTATTAGCAATGCCCAAATAATATAAAAACTTTTATTGATTTATTTTAATATCATTGATTTATTTAATATCTATGTTAATTGAACTTTCCAACTTTTCTCTTTTTGGAGTATTTTTGAAGTACATTTTGATGTAACGATGACACGAATTCTATAATTGATCGGTATATCTGAGGTCTTCGAAGAGAATCGAAATGTTCATTTAATATAGATAACATAAAAATAATTCGGTAAATAAATCAGTAAAAGTTTTTATATTGCTAATTGCATCAACCATGTTGCACTTTTATTTGCTTTGTTTGGGTCCTATTCATACTTATTTGCATTTTTCTTATGTATTATAAACTTGAACATTGTTTTTGTCTTATTTTATATATACAGTTATATATATATATAT